TGACCTGTTCTAAAAAATAATTTTGAAGACTCACACAAACCTTTTTTACCAGGATATCCAAGATGTGCTTGCCACAAAACCTTTATACAGAAAACTAAACACCTTTTAAATGCCTAATGGAAGAAACATGCATCTTTGATTGCAGACCTAAGATTTAGTGATGGTCCAGGATATAACTGAAGGAAAATTTCCTCAGTGTCACTTTATTTTTATTGTGCTACTGCATCAGTGAACTAATCAGAGTTAGCTGACTCAAGTATTTTGGTGTTTTATCTTATCACAGTTTTTTTTTTGTTCAGGCAGCAGTAGCACCAGTGGCCTCACCGTTTGGAGCTATGGAGGGTCCTATTCCTTCCAGTCAAACCAAATACCTAGACCTTCTTGCAAAATTTTATGTCCTGAAACGGCAGCACTTCCTTGCTGCTAATATACTTTATAGGTTGGCAGAAAGGCAATGCAATGATATTAGGGAGGCTCCTACTTTGGAGCAGAGGTAAAAATACTGATACTTCTGTCCTTCCAGAAGTTCTTGTGGTTTCACACTATCAATTTCCACTTTCCTATGGTAACAATTACACTTTATCTGTATTCAGGCTCCAATATCTCAGCAATGCTGTGCTGCAGGCTAAAAGTGCAAATAGCAGTGAAAGTCCAGTCAGTTCAGCAAGAAATACTGTCGATGATCAGTTATTAGATGTGCTGGAAGCAAAGCTTGCTGTTCTGCGTTTCCAGATGAGAATTAAAGAGGAGCTGGAACTGATAGCTTCAAAGTTAGAAGATGCACAGGGCATTGCTGGATCGCAGGGTAATGCCCAATCTGATTTTGAGATCGCAATGGCTGCTAAAGACAAGGCTAAAGAGTTAGCACTTGATTTGAAGAGCATTACTCAGTTGTACAATGAATATGCTGTTCCATTTAAGCTTTGGGAGGTGTGTCTCTTCAATTTGAGCTTTTTAGTTTAGTTATGAATTGCACATTTTCATTTCCTTGATGCATTTAAATAAGGACAACTTTTAGTTCAAAACTCTCAATCAGTAGTATAATTTTGGTTTTTACCTACATTGGTCAAATAGATCAACAATGTGTTTGCCTTTCTGCCCTGAGAATGTTGTTTATACCAAAGTTATAGTAACATCTGCTCAATTGTTATTTGAGTTACTTTTTTTCTTGGTGTTTCTGGTTCTTTTTTTGAACTGAAGCTTAGAATCTGAAGAAATTATTGGATGTTAGGCACTTCGTGTTTTATGCATATAAATACTTCAGCACTTCATACTTTTACTAAATTTGCAATGTTGCTTTAAGTATTTATTGGTAATTTAAAAGGTCCTGACACTTTTTGGCTCAGATATGCTTGGAGATGTTAAACTTTGCAAGCTATTCTGGTGATGCTGATAGCAAAATAGTTAGAGAAACTTGGGCTAGGCTTCTGGATCAAGCACTTTCAAGAGGGGGTGTTGCAGAAGCTTGTGCTGTTCTAAAGAGGGTAGGGTCAAATCTTTACCCAGGAGATGGTGCTTGCTTGCCGCTAGATACATTATGTCTTCACCTGGAAAAGGCTGCCCTGGTAATTGTCCTCTCACCCCTGGAAATTGTACCAAATTTTTATGTGGATTCTTAGTACTGATTTCTATTCCTTTTGTATGCACTTTTCTTAGATTTGCTGATAACCTTTTTCTTTTTTCTTGCAGGAACGGTTGACTTCAGGAGTTGAACTAATTGGTGATGAGGAAGTTCCAAGAGCCCTTCTTGTTGCCTGCAAGGGTGCACATGAGCCCGTAATAAGCATCTATGACCAGCTAGTATCTAATGGAGCCTTTTTACCTTCCCCAAACCTGAGACTGCGTCTCCTTCAATCAGTACTCGTTGTTCTACGTGAGTGGGCTTTGTCAATCCTTGCAAATAATATGGGTACAACTGTAGCTGGAGCCTCCTACATTTTTGGTGGCAGTTTCTCCTTGGAGCAGACAACAGCTGTAAAGCGAGGCATTCGTGACAAAATTGCTAGTGCAGCTAACAGGTAAGCTCATTCTTGCTTTAGTTTGTGATCTATTAATTTTGTGTAGTGATCCAACTTTCTTTATGATTTTCAAAATACTGCAGTCCTGAACTTTCTTTTTTTCCTTTTTTGGTGCTATTTTTTCTTTGTTTGTTCACAAAGGGTGTTAGAAGGTGCTAGCTCCCACAGTATGAAGTATTTACTGCCTCTGCAGCCTTTGGCTTACGCTTTATGGCTAATTGCTAGTCTGCGGTCATTGACATAAGACTTTGGGTTAAGTGGTTACTAACGGACTGGTATTATTAGTCTGTCAAGAAATACACCAATTATCAACAACCCTTAAATGTGGATGGAGATTTAAAAAAGCTCTCAAAACCTTAAATTAAGATTGGTGCATCTGTCTGAGCTTTTATAGGCAGTTGTCAGGTTAGTCTTGCTGACAGCAGTTACGCAACTTGACGAAGCACACTATGTAATTGAACAAAATGAATTAGCGTTCGGCTATGTGCGATAAAGAATAGAACTAGAGAGTTTCTGGCATTGAGAAACAGGTTTTAAAACTGAAAGGGAAGACGGGGAAAATATGAAAAGGTTTAGAGGAAAGGGAGAAGAGGGAAGTAATAAGACATTGAGGAGATTTTATACCTTCGTTATGTAGATTTTCTTTATTGAGCTTTATCTACTCCCATGTTGAACCCACAAAGTTGATTTGCATCTTTAAATTCATCATAAACACAACACAAATGACAACCATCCAATCTGCTAGTTAACCATCGTAGTTTATCTTCGTCGTTAGTTCCTAATGATAGTTTTCTCCCTTTATTTTCTTGTTTCCCCTCTTTAAATTCCTTTCAATCAATCTTTATTCTTTCATCTCTCTCTAAGCCACTCCAAATCTGACGGTACATTGTTGCACATGTTTTTGGGCGTATTTAGGAAACCCCTTTATGCTGAGGAAAGCAATTTTAAGGAATATGTCACATTTCATGAAGTGAAAGCAATGTTACATTAAACGTTGGGCGCTTCTAGGCGTCGGACTTGGCGCCCAGCGCTTAGTCGCCTAGGCGGGCGCCTAAGCGGTTTCTGGGCGTTTTTTTTTTCTTTCTTCATTTAAGTGGTGGTCGATGAGGTTTTGCTGAAGGTCGGAGGAGGTAGTGGAGATGTTCATATTTGGGGTGGTCGATGAGGTTTTGCTGAAGGTCGGAGGAGGTAGTGGAGATGTTCATATTTGGAGGTTAATAGATTTTGGAGGACGTGTAGGCTACGACACATAAAATCACAATCAAGACCTATAAGGTGCAATCTACGTAAGCAGACAATGCTCCCCTAAACGCTCATAAAATCTAGGTGGGCAGTCTAAATACCGTCTAGACGCTAGGCGCTAGTTAGGCGGCCTAGGTACCGCCTAGGTCTAGACGTACGTCTAAGCGGACTAGGCGGAGGTTTTTTAAAACAGTGAGTGAAAGCTAGTCACGTACAATTTAAGATAATGCGATTTTGTCAGAAGGAAAATGACGCAATGTTTTATTTCGTATTCTAACTAACTTTTTACTTTGAGAAATAATTTTCCTGGTGTGCATATCACTTCTCTCTTTTTTCCTTTAATATTCTATCAATGATTGTTGTCTGTAAGATAGTTTTTCTTGTTGATATATTGCGTTGACAGATATATGACTGAGGTGAGACGGTTGCCACTTCCACAAAGTCAGACTGAGCCTGTATACCGAGGCTTCAGAGAACTTGAAGAAAAAATGATGACTCCATCTTCATTTCATCGTTTCTGATATCTTTACAGCATTCAAGGACTTGTATACCAATTTCATTTCTTGTATTTATTTTTTTCCTGGACGAGAAAGAAATGTCAGAAAATAATCAGGGTTTTGGTATCATCCATGTGTAAGAGCCCAATAGCTGAGTGATGTGTTGTATTCTAGTATAGCATATTACCCTTTTTTATTTTTAGGGGTTCGCGATTTTCTTCCAAGAGTTGTTCACTGCATTCGGATCACAATGTCGTTCTCTGGTTGTGCTGAGTAATGAATCTTTTGTGGAAGATGGCGGAGCTACTCTGCTTGTATCTGATAACGTTTGCTTTGTTTTGATTCAATGGATGTGGTTTTCATAGGGACGGTGCTCTTTTCCCACTGGTACCAAGGATCCGGAGTGTCTCAATGAGATTGGGAGGTAATCCCAGGCGGATTCTGTAAATAGATTGGGAGTAGATCATGTTATTTTGAGCAGGTTTAAATGTTGGGAGTTTGGCGGCAAATGGATCAGAATTTTGGAAAGTGGTTCTTGTCGCCACAAGTGGAAGTAGTAAAGTGAATAGAGAGTGAAAGGCTTGGTTTTTTTACCCTTTCTTGATTTTCTCGAGAAAGGAAGAAATTGGAGGGAAATCGAAAACGGTACCTTATCCGTTAACAAACTCAGAATAAATTTTGTAAGCTAATTAGGTTAGATCTATATATGTACTGAATTAGACAAAACGTATTTAAACTATGAAATTGTTAGGAAATAGACAAAATATCCACGCATACAAAATTACCAATTTTAACCAACACGCATCACAAAATTTTCCCTAAGCTTTTAATTTAATTTGTTAGTTTTTTTTTATTTTTCTCAAGTAAAAATCTCTCTTAATTTTTTTTCCTTTTAAAATTTCTGTTTTCATTCATTTCCTGAAATCTAAACATACTCGAATATGAATCTTAGTAAGGTAATAAGCGCTCTGCAGTCTTCTATTTGGACGGTTGAGATTTGAACTGACATCCCAGTGTGCAGGAGAAAAATAGGTGGACTGATGAGATTAAGCCCTCTCCGAGTAGATGGGCAGAACGACTTCGTAGGAAATATTGTTTGCATCCTGAAACAAGATATACAAGAAAACCTTGGCGCTAAAAAGCTTACGTCGTCTCGTGCCCGTTTGCTTCACTCCCAGTTGTTTGACCATCTTGATCTATTGAGGTAACAGCAGCAACATGATAGTCTGAGTGATTATATAACTTGAAAAAAGTGAAAAAACATATTTTATATTATTCCCATGAACTGTACACAATTATATAAATAAATGAACTCCTGCAATATACCAAAAACAGGAGATCCCTTTTATTACATTATAACCAGATCTATAGGCCTTGGCAACACACGCGTGCATAGAAACGTGCACAAGCAAAAGCAACAAAGCAACGATAAAGGAATAGAAGAACAGAAGACCAGAAGAATTTAAAGCAGCCAGCCGCCCCAATCCATTTAGTTCCTCCTACGAGGGGAGAGCTCAGCCTCCACATGAAGAGCCTCATCTCTTAGCTCTTTTAGTGCTGTGGACCTCTCATTGTTGCCATCTATGTTTTCATTGACCATAGTTGTGAGGTGCTTCAGGCATGACAGATACTCGCTTTTGACATCCGGAGAATTTAACAAGCATCGTATCCGAGGCTGCATGGTAAACAACATCAACTTGATGCATATGATAATACATTTTTTCCTATCCAGTGCCATTAATAGGGCTAAAAGTAGGAAACATGTAGCATAATTTTTTAGACCATAGGAAAATTGATTATTCGTACCTCTTTAAACATTGCAATACATTCCCGAAGAGAAAGTTCAGCATCAAAAATAAAATTCTTTTCCTGCAAGATATGGGAGACGAAGACAGCTAGCTACATGATAACCATCAAGGATGTTGTGGAAATCATACATCTGGGGGGGGGGGGGGGGGGGGGGGGGGACTAAGGTTGGCCAGTACACAACGAACAATCTACACAAAATCACACATACATACACACAAATAGAAGAAAAGAGGAAGGCTATATCTAAAATAATTGTGTTGTACATTTCTCTAGGATGACTGGTAACTAATATGCGTCATGACTGAGTGATAAACCATGTACCAGCGATTAATGAGGATCAAAATGCAGATAAATCCTTGTACAGATTTATCTATAACGTTACAGATATATGCTCTTCCATTCAACTTTACGCGTATGTTCATTGATACGGATACCACACATGGAGTAATTATTTTCAATGGATTAGCAGTGAAGTACAGTAACCTATACCACCATAAGAAGCTTGATCCAGCTAAATTAACGTGTAATTAGCCACTGACACATAGATCACTAGAGGTTATATTGCAGATGCATCTATCTGTTCATCAAATTTTCTTATAAATTCACTCAAAACCATTAATTTTATGCTCCTCTCCTTTGAGTACTTCCCTATACTTTCCACATATGCCAAACATATCTTGTTCGTTTTGGCAGAAGTATTCCTTCTATATTCCAAATTCAGGGAAAACATATATCTACTATTGGATACTGCGTAAGTTTAGAAAGTGTCTGTACTTAAGTTGTAATTGCATATGAAAAAGAAATGAACATTTACTTCCATATCAAATTAGCAGAGGATGCTGGGCAGATCTCTGATGGTCCTCAAATCATCACAGCTTGACCATGGAAATTTGTTCACAAAATCTTTAGTGTAAACAACCCAGTTAAATAAGAGAATCTTGCATATGACATGTTTCCTATTGGAATGCAGCCACCTATAAAGTTCATTTCTAAATTCTCCGAGATAGACTACAATTTGTAGATCAGTTGTCAACTTGATGTTAACTCTCCAACATTCACTGTGGAACAGGAACGGCATCTATAGGTAAAGGAGCTAGCCATAATAACAAATACACTACAAGGATAGTAACTTAATATCAGCAGTCCTAAAATATTCTTCATACCTAATTTAACACTCAAATCACAACACTTGGAAGAGACCTGTGTGAATTATGTGTTACATCTAGAAGAAACTGAAAACTTTCACACAGCAAAAAGTTAGAACTCCAACAGAATCAAGTTCTTTAAAAGTGCACATTCTGGTGAAGATCGTGTAAGAAGAAAGCATAATTGAAAACTGACCCCTTTCTCTAATAGTTCACATTTTGCGATATCCAGAAGGCCAGCCAAGTCCATTGATTGCAACTGCATGCAAAATATTCCATAATCAAGTTCAGATGATTGGATATGATATAATCAACTTAGATTCAAATCCTTTGGGAGATTGTCACTTGAATGTAATATGTTTTCAGAATCTGTAAGTCTAATTCTAATGCAATGAAAATTTAAGATATCTTTCCTCGGTTTTGTATAAGTTATACACAATGATATTCTACTAGTACACACTTTCTACATTCTTCGATAGATGAACCTAATTTTCTTATGCACATCACAACAAAAAGAAGTTTGCTCAGAAATACAAATTATAAGACATTAAAGATATGAATATTTTATATGAATATTTCATTCGCAGGCCAAACTTCCCATAATATGATATAATATATACACGTAGATAACATTTTTTATCACATAAAAATAAGAAGGAACTCCATAAAGTTTAAGAAGGAGATCTGCTGCAAAAGATAGGGTTTACTACAGGGTCCAAGGCCTGAGTATAGATTTGTTAAGACTTAACATCTTGCTGCCAACCCAAAATCACCTGCAATATTGGTCTCAGATTATTAGCAGAGGGAACTATTGAAAAAAGAGGGTTGGCCATAAATCTTTAGAAATGCCAATTTTCTAGCAGGTAAAACCTGCCCAATTGGTAATGCAGATTAAGTTCATTAAACCAAAGACAAACCTTCCAAAATTTTCCAAAACTGAACAAAAGGTCTTTGAAGAAGAAAGATGAAGGATTTGCTATAGCATACAGGGAATAAGCACAAAACATGAATAGACATATTCTTAGACATGGAAGGCAGTTTTTATTTCTTAAGAATAGAAAGTTACGAAATCATCTGAGCTTACAATCCTAGCAAACACAAAGGCCAATAGCACCTAAGACTTACTGTGAAGTTCCAGAGAAGCATCAGCTGAGTAGATATATGATGCATAGGAAAATATATCATTATATAATCACACAAATCTGCAGTTTGGTATAATGACCAACTTGTAAGTTCTAAGACGTAATCGTTTAACCCTCACAATGTAAAGTAGCACGAGTAGATCAACAAGTAAGCATGTTTATAATGAACAGGAAATCTAGATTTAAAAATATACTACAAGAAGAGTAAAGGAAAGAGAGGACAGATTTTCCTGTGACAAGAAAGCAAATACAGCTTGCCTACCAAATTGAATGGTGCTATCAAGAAGTTGTATGAATTTAGCAATCTTATATTATACAGAGAAGTCACGCATAAGAGTAGCAAAATATGATGTAGCAGGACCTAGCATTAGGCTACTATGGCTTATGATGACTTCAGAATACCAAAAGTTGCTAGAGATACATACAAGGGGAGTAATTTTCAAAAGGCAGAAAATGACAAGCATCCAAGAATGATGTTCAAGTATCAGAATGGTCAGTACTATGAACAAGTACAGAAGTACTTAAATAATAATAAAAAAAACCAAAATCACATCACATTGCCTAAGAAGGTGAAAAGCCTGCAATTTTATTAGGATAACTGACCAGTATCACTAATGCCCTGTGCTGATCCTTCGCACTTCCATTGGAATTATCACTGCTTTGGAGGCTGTTATAATTTTTGCTTGCACAATTCAGAACCGTCTTTGCTATCCTGTCAACAATTAGAAACATACAGTTATTATGGGTGAAGAACGGAACAATCACACTGGGTATACCTTCTCTAATTAGAAACAGACACATTTAATTCTACTCACATGAGATAGTGACTAACACATATCTTCATTTCAATAACCAATCTAGGATAATATGCGTCCATTTCTTCCTGTCCGAGTTTGTCTCCTAGGCATGAAAGCAATTACCTATTACAAATCCCAACATCTTTCTCTCTATATATTTGTTTCCTTAAATTAGAAATGGTAAGAGGTTCCACAATTAATTTGAATACATTCTGTGTAGCCAACAAGATCTTGCTGACAGTATAATCCTAGTCTAGGAATTGTGTCATAGCGTTAGTAAGCACCAAAAAGTCAACTGATTCTTTCTGGGGGAGCTTTATATGGAAAAAAGCATATGATAGACTACACTACGCTTTGCACATCATAAGCTGCAAACGCTGTGTTGACCACACAGCTGGATTCAATGGATACTAGCTGCATCTCAAAATTCCAGCGTACCATCACACTGGAAGTGGTATATTGATATATCTTAGAATGTTTAGTTGCTTAATGATGGAGATATTGGTATGCAGTTTACAGATAAACTGGCCTAAAATAAACACCTTAACGGTGCTTGTAATTGGAATTTAAACATGACAAATTGCATCTACAATATGATACATTCATAGATCCTATTATTTGGATATCCTGTTAGTGTATAAATACCTTTGTTTTTAATTTTATAGACAGATGCCTCAAAATATGCTTCTCTAAAAACAGATGACTCAATTGGACAGGAAAAAGTTTCTGAGAAATCGCGCAGATGTTTAAATTTTAAATAGAACTATGTACACTACATCACTATGAAAAGCAAAAAGCTAATTTTACCTAATAGAGTTATCAACAAAAGTTTTGGCTTTGTCAAGTTCACCTCTTGCTTCAGATATATTAACCTTTCGTAAGTGGTTAGATTTGTGCATAGCTACTCTACCCAAGTGAAGCATATTAGCAGCCACCTGCAAAAGAGAGCATGTTTCAGCATTCAGGAGCTCTATGATTAAAAAGAAAGAGTATATATGGAAATTCAAAAGGTGACCTAAAGTTTATAGAAGTAATATGGTAAAATTCATTTCTATTTGCCAAGAAGACTTTTTTTATTTGTTTTGTCTCATTTCGGATTAAGAGTTGCAACCGTAAAGAGGACCTTGGGTACTGACATAAGCAGTTAAGCACACATAAAAGGATAGAACAGAATCCTCAATAAACTAAAGGAAAGGCCACCATACATACAAAATGAGATATTTGATACCAAAAAATAAAATGCAATACGTCAAGTGTCGACACCATTAAGAATCAAGGACAAGCTAGAGAAGGAAATGACAGTATAGCACTGTGTATAAGCGAACTTTTAATAACCATAGTATTGTACAGTATAGAGCTAGAGTTAGCAGATTTAATGACAAGACAAATAAAGTACAAACTGCAAATAGGATTCCAAATGATAAAGCATGTGTGCCAAGCCTCTGCACAAAATTGACATATGCTTCTTTTCTTGAAATGATCCCTCCTCTTAGAAAGATTAACCCCATTAATGCAACCAGTAATTCTGCTACTATTATATTAAGATGAACAGTCTGTTATTGTTTTCTTTGATTATATATTATAGTTAAGCAGGTTTATAGTGTTTAACTTCAACATCACTAAGCCTTTTCCCGTCAAAATGAACTGGTCTTTGTGGATCACAAGGCTCCATGAAAAACATACTAATTTTCTTTTTGATCAGCATAAATCTACTTAATGTCAACCCTCTGTACTGTTGCCAAATTCCAATGTTGCCTTAGTGGTAAATCAAGGGTTTATCTTAGGAGAGGTCACAGATTCAAGAAAAAGCTGTAGGCTCTGTTATGAAAAAAATGTTGTTATTTTCCTAGCATTTACTCCATAAATTTAACCAACAACAATCATACTAAGAGAACAGACCTGAATATGATCGTGGGGAAGAATCTTTTTTCTGGCCTCAAGACATCTGCAAAAAGCATATTAGCTGCTTTCTTAGCAACAGAATCACAAGTTTTGCAGTAAAATAATGAAACATAGGCAAATAGAACAACACCGTTCCAAAAGATCCCGTGCTTCACTTAAGCTTCCAAGGGACTGCAAAGTCAAGGCTAAACCTTCTGCTGCTACTATAGTATCCAATGACTCCCATCCCTAGTAAACAACTTTTTCCTTTTATTGTTTACTCGTTAGAAGAGTAAAAACATGGCATTCAAGAGATGAACATGATAATCTAAGAGACAGAATTATAATAATAGATAAGGCAGAGTTTTTTTGGGAAATACAATTTAACTAAATGAAAAGGCATACAAATAAAAGTTACATATAAATGAAAACAAATGGGCCTAGATATAAGAGATTTTTACTAAGGCAATAAGAAGAGGCTAGATAGTCAAACAGATTCATTAACATAGATAATGCATAGACCAAATGTTCTATAACTACGCGCTATGCGTTGTTATTGTAAATGTCATGTTATATATCCTGGATATTTCTCTGACACTAACAGTGATAAAGCAAAGTATCATCCTCATAATTAATAAACTATTTAACTTTGGATGGCTTCTAGTAAATATAGCTCAGTGTGCAAGCATTAAGACATTACATTTAGCTAAGAGGATGCAAGGATCTTCGAATTGCCAAACTTCAGGTGCTTGCTCTTCCCAAGCTGAAATCTGCATCCGAACTATATAAAATGAAAGGCCTTTTTCTCTCAATGAATAAGTGGTATTCGTATTTCCACAGCGGGTACCGCATTTAAAAACAAAAACAATTTTTTTATTTGAACTGCACAATACTACTATCCTTATAGGTATATGCTGAACAAATATTTATTGTCACAGAATTGTTATATTGTAAGGTGGAATACTTGTGGACTGTTCTTGTAAATGAAGAACAAGACAACTACTGAACCTTGAAGAATTTTATTTTACCAAACTCTTAATTATATCTAACAAAGTATTACGTTCACAAACCATTATTGTAAAACTGACAATCCTAATCTTTCTTATTAAGCACACTCTCAGTAGAATAGAAAATGTCACAAGTCAGAATCAGCACTTCCAAGGGCAGAATAGCAGAATCAGCAAAGTGGTAGTCAAAAAATGTTACTAGCTATGCTCCTGACGAATGCGGACAATTTCAAAGCATTACATAAACCTTTGAAAGTTCCAGGATATGTAAGATCTTTCTTTGTAGCTTTTCCGCCTCAACTGCTCGGTTAGAACTCAGGAACATCTGTAATAAAAGTAAAGTTCAGTGATATTAAATCAACTCACTGAAACAGATAGCAATGATTTTAACAATAATTAGTTTGCAATGAATTTAGATTGAACGGAAAACAGATAATCATATAACATATCAAGACTTTACTAACTTTTGGAAGAGAAAGTGAGAAACTACAGTAAATTGCCATGTGAAATAGTAACCAACAGTGATAAATGTTTTATATTTAAGAAAAATTGAATCATCTGCAGAAAATGAGGTACAACATATCAACTTTTCAATTCATAAGAACTAGAGTAGAAAGAACATATAAATTTAAACCAAAAATTCAAAAGACTAAACAAGAGAAGAATTTATAAAGTTAAACCAAAATAAATAAAAATTTGAAACCTTTCACGCACTCAAGAAATAAAATGCAAAACCACCTTCTAATTTTTTTTAAAAACTAATGAGCATATGATACGAGTCGCCGTGCGAGCACCTTTGATCGAGAAATTATCAAAGGTGAGTTTGAGAAGAAAACAGCAAAACACACAAGAAAATTCAATTGGCGAAGGAAAATACCTTCTCTAGATTATGAAGAATAGAATATTTCAAAATCTCTCTCTCACAATCTCTCTAAAATAAAGAACAATCTCTCTATTCTCTCTAAACCCTAATCTCTTGATTAGGATCTCTCTTCTATTAATCTGATGTTTAGAAACCCTAAACAATCCCTATTTATAGGTTAAACAACGTGAGTGACAAAGTGGTAAATACCCAAGTCAAACCCAACTAAATTTCGTCTCAAAACAGAATCCAAATTGGCCCGGGAAACCCCGTCGGTCGACTAACATACATTAATCGGTCGACCGGTCGAGGCTCATCGGTCGACTGACCATAGTGCGTCGATCGACCGTCCAAAACACATGTTTCTGAACCCTGTAAGTGCAGGTTTTCGGTCGACTGGGGATGGTTGTTCGGTCGACCGACATAGCTTCATTGGTCGACCGGTGCTAGCTCGTCGGTCAACCGGCCAGAGCTGCTTCGCCAACTTCCTGATTTTCACCGTTTTCCTACTTTTGACCGTTTTCGCCGCTACCGACGACTCCGCTCATGCTTCTATTCTCAAGCTACCATGAGAATCATCTATCCTCAAACTCTCATGATGATCGCTAAGTTCCTGAAGCTGAGAAGAAGATACACCCGTATCATGGCTCCCCCCTTTAGGAACTTGAAGTCCCGTTCAAGTTAGAACTTCAGCTGATAGAACTCGCGAGCCCCTCCTTCCCTATTGAACCATCTGATCTTGCTAGGAACCTGACCTTGACGTCCGATCAAAAACGATTCCTTCGTCTCGCGTCTCGTCGTAATCACATTCCGCTCCAAAATACAATCATCTTTCAGTAGCTCCTCATAAGACCTAACAAACAGCGAGACAAACTTCTTGCTTGCATTCACTAGCATCTTCGTCCGGTTCAACGTCACCAAGTTTCTCTCCTTCGGAAGAGACGCCGAACGAAATATAAACTTCTCACCGTCTTTAGTGAATGTGTACTTCTGAGCCCGTCTTTCGTAGATTGCGTATCTATCCCACAAATACGGATTGCCCAGTATAACCTGACAAGCATCCAATGGAACTACGTCGCACGTGATCTCGTCAATATACGACTCGTGGAGCGTAAATCTAAAAGTGCATTGATTAACTAGACTCAGCCACGTCTCCTTCTGAATCCACCCCAATGGATAGGGTTTTGGATGCTTGACCGTCTTCACACCTAGCTTCTGAACCAAGGCCTCAGATATCAAATTCTTATCGCTGTCTGGATCAACTATGACATCTACCAAACTGGTCTTCACTTGCAACTTAATAATAAAGAGTTGCTCTCTAGGATCTTCGTCCTCCTTCACGGCCTGCTTTCCTGTCATAAGGTTGAGACTGCTATTGGGCTCTATCATTCCTAGGACTTTTTTCGGACATTGTGCTATCACGTATGCTTTTTCTCCTCCTTTTTCAACTCATTCGGCTTCATATGAGGATACTTCTCCCAGCACTGATCAACATGTCCTGTCTTTTCACAATGATTACAAATCAGTCCTGTTTTTCTTGGTTCACCCTTCTTCTTTTCCTTCTTAGGTTAGGAACCACTAGACTCGCCTCTAGTTTGCTTGGCTTCTCCCTTCGTCTCATTGCTCTTCTTCTGTTTGCCTTCAATGGCAATAGCCTTCACGCTCGACTCTGCAATCGACTCAACTGTGAACAACTTTATCTCCTTTCGGATATATTCGTTCAGACCCGTCATATACTTCATAAAAATAGAGTACTCTGTTGCGATGTTAAGGACCATCGTCTGCTGCTGGAACTCTGTGGTGTATTCTTGAACGGTTGATTGAATCTTTAACGCAAGTCGTACCACTTGTAACAACGCTCTTCAAGGAATCCCACTGAGTAGAACTGCTTCCTCAGTAGCTCCTTGAACTTGTTCCACGATACCGTTTTCTTCTCCTACTTATAGTAGGATTTTCACCACGTCAATGTGTGTCCGGATAGATTTAATGTCGCAAAAACAATATTCTCTTTTAACGAATAGTCATAAAGAGTAAAATAGGTCTCCATACGCTCGATCCAATCATCAAGCCTCTCAACGTCGACACTCCCATCATAAACAGGAATCTCAACTTTGAAATCAATCTTCAGATTTTGGTAAGAACCCTTACCCCCTTGATGCGAAATAGTCTTGACGATCTTGACCTCCTCGTCGGAATTTGAATTCTCACTACCTTCATCAGATTCTATAGGTTTCTTTTTGGACCCCGCCGAAGATTCACCTTTCTTTTTGCCTCTGTGGATGAGATCGACGAGCTTCATGAGAGTCGAACTGATTGTCTCGATTTGTTTTTCCATCGCATTAAGCCTCGATGAATTGTCGCTTTCTGTCATCTTCTTCTTCTTTGATTTCTGGACTTCTTCCAAAGACACAAGGATCTCGTCTAGCTTTTTGTATTGCGATCGAGTAAGGATCATACACAGGATACCCCTTCACAGCATCTGATTGCTCTGATACCAACTTGATACGAGTTGCCGTACGAGCACCTTTAATCACGGAATTATCAAAGGTGGGTTTGAGAAGGAAACAACAAAACACACAAGACAATTCAATTGGCGAAGGAAAATATCTTCTCTAGATTATGAAGAATAGAAGATTACAAAATCTCTTTCTCACAATCTCTCTAAAATAAAAAACAATCTCTTTATTCTCTCTAAATCCTAATCTCTTGACTAGGATCTCTCTTCTATTAATCTGATGTTTAGAAACCCTAAATAATCTCTATTTATAGGTTCAACAACGTGGGTGGTAAAGTGGTAAATACCCAAGTCAAACCCAACTAGAATTCGTCTTAAAACAGAATCCAAATTAGCCTAGAAAAACCCCGTCAAGCAACCGACATATATTAATCGGTCGACCGATCGAGGCTCATTGGTCAACCGACCATAATGCGTCGGTCGACCGTCCAATACACATGTTTCTGGACCTTGTAGGTGCAGGTTTTCGGTCGACTGGGGATGGTTGTTTGGTCGACCTGACATAGCTTCATCGGTCAACCAGTGCTAGCTCGTCGGTCGATCGACCAGAGTTGTTTCGTCAGCTTCCTGATTTTCGCCGTTTTCCTGCTTTTGATAATTTTCGCCGCTACCGAAGACTTCGTCCACGCTTCTATTCTCAAGCTACCATGAGAATCATCTATCCTCAAGCTCCCATGAGTATCGCTAAGTTCCTGAAGCAGAGAAGAAGATGCACCCGTATCAGCATAAAGGAATTAAACCCCAGTAAGGACTTTGGTTCCTTCGTCCACTTCAACTAGTGTAATCCAAGTTTAATATGCTCATGTGTTGATTACTTCAATCAATATGCATTCTAGAGATTTTTTTAAAAAGAATTCTGATACTTACAGAAAATATTTACGGAACATTTTCTGCAAATGGCCAAGAGAACAAAGAATTATGAACATTTATGTAACTCCATTAATTTATAGATGCACAATGTAAGAGTCAAACTGATAGGATTTACTTTAGGGCCAATTGCACTGTACAAGGGCAGATTTAATTTATCCCCAAGGGGTGCAATTGCATCCCTAGATTTTTGTTATTAGCATTGTAAGTCCTAGTAATTTTTTACAATCTCTCTCCTCCCACCCAAATTTAAAAACTGAACCCTAATCTATCTAAAAGCATTAAAGAAACTAGTAAAACCAATTTAAATTTCCAATAATAAGATTCTGTGGGCTCAATTAAAAGCCCAAAACTACTCTAGAAATCCAAAAGTCCAAAGCCCAAAAAATAATACAAAATATAATTCAATAATGCTCATAAAGTGTACCGACTACCAACTGCATTCCCATCAGGTACTATTTTTCTATATAATACATCCCCCCCCGCCCAAAAAAAAACGCGACGGCCACCCACCCCCTCCAAAAATTCTGGTCCGCTGACCGGTACTGTATATGCGTGAATAAATAAACATATCCACAGGTTTCTATAATTAGATCTCCAGGACTCTAGTCATAGGCAATATAGTGTAAATACAATTGCATTTTATAGCTGCATTGTTTCCCTCAGAGGCAGGAAGCCAGCAAAGACACTTTCTCGTGCCTGACTAACTTCACCATCCTATATTGTACCAGTAATTCTCTACGAAATCATGTAACATCTTACATTTAGCTCCCAATACTTGGATACTTATCAAATTCTGTAACAGATTGCGAAAAGAAAGATGCATCGAAAGCCTTCCCTTTAGTATGGGGATGAGGCTTTATGGCCTCTGACATTTGTGTTTGCTTTTGTAGTGTATTATTATCATGGAAACGTTATTAATATTTCCTATATGGGCAAGTACAAAAACTGGATGGTTCGTTTTTTTTCCTTTCTGAGTAACTTCCTTATGCCTGAACAAACTCACCTCTATTATGTCATTCAGGTGGTAAAGGCTTGTAGTTCGCTCCAGTAATGACATATATAGACCATACACACATAGAACAGTCAACACATATGTGCTCAAGCATCAGGCACAAGAGCATGCATGAAAGATGCAGGCGTTGAAGTACCTAAATTGTCATCCACAACGAATTCTTTCTAACTGATGTCCTTCAAGCAACTAGTATGATATATGCATATAACAACTCAGAGGTATTAACAGTGGGTGGACAATACCACAAAAAAGGCACTCATGAGTCATGTATATAGATACAAGTAATGATAACCAAATCCATAGTGACAGTACCATGTCCTAGACTCCTACTCAGTTGGCATTATGACCTTTTCTTATCGATCTTTCCACAGTGCAATATTTTGTACAAGAACAATTCTAAAATCCATTTTAATTGATAAGAGAATAATGCACAGCTGATTTCAGCAAATTAGCTGCACTCTTACATAAAATTCACACATGCTGTCCCTGATATCATTCTAAACACGAATGGGGTCTTAAGAAAGATATAATTATGTATTACCTGCGAAAGGTACCTCATCCTCCGTATGCAAGTTGTTGTTTCCCCAAGACCTCCTTCCTAAGAAATTGGAGTAATAAAGAGTGAAATGTCTAGGATGCATTTAAAGTATTATGATTGCATGAATTTAAATGCATTGAAGAACCTCTAAAATTTTAATAGACTCTTCAACAATAGTCTCAGAGTCCTTTACTTTTCCTAGAAGATGCAACACCTGCAAAAAATAAAACGGCCTCTAAGTTACTAAAAATATTGAATGAAAGAAAGGTTTTGATAAAAACTAATAGAACAGATAAAAGTAAAATCATCTTATGGAAACAATAAGAAATTCTTTGCTATAAGCTGAACTATGTTCGAGTTGTGCTATAAAAAGAAGAGCACATGAATTCCATTTGGATAGACAAAGCTGATGCTAAGGTCCTGTCATTTTCAATCCATGTCACAAACCAATGTTGAGTCTTGATTATCATATCCAGGCTCCCTTCGGTATTTATGTGGATATCAGATGTTTAAACCATATGAAAGAATAGTACTCCAAATGTAGAAGAGGTATGTGGAAGTCCCAGGTTCCACTTTTGCAAATTTCACATGACATAAGATAGCAATATCACGTCATTCTGCAATCAGAGTTGGCACCAAAAGAGAAGAAAATTCTACTGTGACTGATGCATGTCTTTAATAATTCAATGAACAATTATACTGCAGCACTAGAAGTCAATGCATATCATTTTAGATTTAACAGGAAACATAAGAAATTGAGCTTTTGGGATGGATTTACAAGGGAAAAAGATATGGGCCAGGAACCAGGTGATATAACTATATGAAATTATTATTAACTGCTCTCAATCCAAGTTATAAAAAAATTGAAATCGCACAAATACATTTTCCTCTAATGTTATAGATATAAGAAATACCATGTTGTATGGTTAAAAAAAGAATCATGTGACATTTGGGAATTGGATAACCAGCAACCTAAAAGCATACTTGGTGATGCATCAAGACAATGGCCCTTAGGAGCGTACTTGGTGATGCATCAAGACAATGGCCCTCAGTGGTTTACACAATGATTCAATTAGACGTGAAATACAATATCAATCAGTGCCTCGTGTAGGATCCATCATAGAGCTGCTCAACTAATATCAACATGTAATAGAATATAATGTGTCAAAAAAGGGTTTTAACTGGAACATTTAAACCATTACCATGAATACTTCTACTGTACTACACATAGATTTATCTTGTAAACCATACAGATAAAACATCCGCGTATAGTAGTATTTTTGAGATTGATGAAGTAAGGATAATGTAAAATCCAGATTGGAGAAAGAAGAGATTACCATTCCAAGATGATACATGGTATTGGCATAATCTGGATGCCCATAGCCTAAAACACGTCCTTCTATCTACATAAAACAAGAACAAGTACCTCTCAAGATATTATAATCTTGAAGTCAAGATGTCCAATGTCCATATCAGAAAATCCCTTAAAGTAGGAATTTGATTTTAAAAGGAAGGGAACCGCCATGACAGAGATGAAGCTTTGTTTAATACCTTTAAAGCTCGCTGCCAAAACAAACAAAAACAAACAGTAATCAGTAATTACAAAGGCACTGCAGGACAACACAATAACTTTTTTGAACAGTAAACTTGAAGATAGAAAATGCAATGTAAAAGAAAAAGGGCAAATTTCTAGTAATATAGTGAATAAAATTCAATAGGCATTGGAGAAGCTCCCAAGGGAGAAGAGAAGGAATGTTGCAGTTGGAACATAATTAGGAAAATGCAGGAGATCGTTAAAGAAAATAATGAGCTAAAAATGGGGAGTATAAAACTTATTGAAACACAATGAAGGGATCCTAATAAGCACAAATAATCTATCATTAATCTTAGAAGCAAACAAATTAACAGCCTTGACCCATCTCTTTTCTCCCTATAGTGGTATTCTAATCACAGGTTTCTGTATATTTTAATCAATCCTTTCTACATTAAAATGAGTATAAATTCAATCTAATTAGAAGTCCCATTTATATCTGAGTTTTTTTTCCTCATTCTAATATAAAAGGAAAGGTTTGATCAATTAATTTACTAGTTATAATCAAATAATATTCAGTTAGCACTAACTTTCCTTTTTGATAATTTTAAAATCAGTTAGCCATCTTGATGATTAATTAGACAATATTAATTGACTTGGAATTCATATTTAATAAATAAATTTAGGAGTCCATAAAGTAGGTTGGATTTTCTTGAAAGTTGAAGTTCTTTCTTTATTTTCTTGTCTTGTTTAATGGATAAAATCAGTTAGCCATCTTGATGATTAATTAGACAATATTAATTGACTTGGAATTCATATTTAATAAATTAAAATCAGTTAGCCATCTTGATGATTAATTAGACAATATTAATTGACTTGGAATTCATATTTAATAAATAAATTTAGGAGTCCATAAAGTAGGTTGGAATTTCTTGAAAGTTGAAGTTCTTTCTTTATTTTCTTGTCTTGTTTAATGGATAAAATCAGTTAGCCATCTTGATGATTAATTAGACAATATTAATTGACTTGGAATTCATATTTAATAAATAAATTTAGGAGTCCATAAAGTAGGTTGGAATTTCTTGAAAGTTGAAGTTCTTTCTTTATTTTCTTATCTTGTTTAATGGAAGAAACAGCTTTTTCACATGTATAGTACATGCATTTTCTTAATATATAATACTAAAACAAGATCAGGTAGAAGAAAACAATAAAATTAGAGGGTAAAAATCAAATGTAAACATGATGTGAGTGTTTCTACGCAGCTTCCAGCCTATTGTCATTACGAATAGCCTTTCTCTTATTTTGGGAATTTTCCACAGAACCACGGGTGGAGATCAAATCATTATGTAAAACTCTATAAAGATATCAAATAGATGGGCATGGGCAAAAAAGCCCTTTCATTGTTGGATGACTGGGAAGCAGGAGCTGTAGGGTCATGTCGAGTGTTGGTAAGGCACATAAAAGAAAAAAAGGGACAAAAAATAAAGTGAAGTATACACAAGTACAAGCTTTGCTAACGAACTAAAGTAGTCCTTTAGAACTCCTTGAACGCTTAAAGAACAACATTGCAATAGGGAAATGCCCTTTAAGGGAATCTAAAGTAGTCAGCTGATATGGCACTAGGGGCTATGAAAGGATGCATAGAGCACACAGATATGATAATGAAAAATGTGATATTTTGATTTTTTTTTCTTCACATTATATACTGAAAAATGATTTAGAAAGAGGCATGGATGTTTAATATCTTCCTAAGTGGAGAAAGAAATAGCTACACATGTTTCCACTTACCATGCAAAAATTATGAAACACTTTAAACAGCTAAGTGCAAAAATAGTGAAGATTTAGTTATCTCAAACACTCATATACCTCATAACACTTTTGAGCCTGCTCAAGTTTCCGCTGAGCAAGATAAAACTGCCCAAGGTTGTGTAAAGCAGCCCCTACTCTGCAAAAACATGTGGTCTCAAAAAACAAAAGATGCTTGCAACATGTACGTAAAGCAACAAAAATGATAAATGAAAGGAACACAATTACTTCTCAATGGAGGGCATTAAAAGTTCATTTATGTTCATCGGATGTTTCCTCCTTAACTGACTATAGGTTCACAAACACTTAATTTTCAGGTTTTCGGGCCATACATATTCATAAGTTTATACAGTCTTATGAGAGTATATGTTGCAAATAGAATAATAACGACAAACCTTACGTCATCACTGCCAAATGCTTCCTCCAGAATACTTATTGCCTCTAAATATAATGGCTCAGCTTTCTCAAATGCCTTCCTCACTCTGTAAAATTCTGCCTGCAACACCCAAGCATATAGCAATGAGGTTTCTATATGCAGCAACACGAAGGGAATGCAATTTGAAGTCACTTCGTATAGACATAACAGGTTTAATGTGATGTTTGGTGAGAGCAAAGCTAAAGACTTGTAACTTTGATTCGATACTACTATGGCTGCGGACCGTCATAAGATCAACAGAATGAAATGACTCACATCTCCTTCTTTGGAGTTCCTGCATAAACATGCATCAAGCTGGGATACCAGACAGCACTTCTACTGTGGGAAAAGTTTATGAACCTCAGATCATCAATGACGCTCAAATTGAAACAATCTAACTCTTCCGAGTTGCTTAACATGGAGAATATGATCATTTGCTTGTTTGCGTTTTTCATGCAAGGGTTAATTTCCTTTATAGCTATATGGTACTGCTGTCTTTTTCTGCCTAAAATCAACAGTTGCATATTTTTCCCAACTAAACCATTGTCATGTCTTACACACACACACACATAAGTAAGCTTAGTACAAAAAATGCTCCTCTAGTAGTGTATGACTCATACAATTCCAAGAGTGCCACAAATAGATGAGGACCCCAGAAGTGCATAGCATAGACAAAATACAAAATATGAGCCATAGCCAAATAAGACTCCTGAAAGTTAAAACAAAAAAGAAAGCTAAACAGTAATTAGTGACCACGTCTACAACCAACTCCCATCTTATCTTGCCAGATGAGAAGTTGCACAGCCAAAGGAAGTTCATAGAGATCATAGTAGGAGTGAAGTTCCTCAAGCTTCGATAAGTAATCAGCCAAAAATTTGTGTCAAGGTAACAATGGTAGACAGAGAGCTGCAGCTTTGAGGTAATAATTCATTTCTTTCCATTTTTGATGCAGTTGCCAGTAAGAAGCATGTTTCCAAATCAAGGCCACAAGGTGTTTTTGTATCAGTCTGGGCACTAGTAGGATGCAAGCAAAATGCACCCGTCGATAGCGCAATGATTTCTCCTTTCAGGCCAGTTCCTTTACCAGCAGGACCTGCAAAAGCCCACAAGAGGTCAACATTGTGGTCCCGAACATGCCCCCAACAGCAAGGTTATCAAGAACCGTCAACATTCAGACTACAAGCTCCCTCAGTTGGGGGTTTCCAAGCATGTGAAAACACACGTTTAACATTGGGCGATCTTGGGGTAATACCAATAGATAGGAGAGAATCCATGCCATACTTAGAAGATTTCATCAATGGTTTCACAAGATTATCCACATGTTGTAAATTGTAATGCATCAATGACCACCAATCTCGCATGCATATGATTTTTCAACATTGCACCGTAGATGCTTACTATTAAGGAAGTTCCGGATTTGATGGCAAATAACAATGCAAGCCAATCTCCCCATGATAGAGAAGTGAGAGCTTCCCTTTCACTTTTTAAACCACCATTTAATTCTAGTATGAATAGACTGCTGAGGTAAGTATGGGACTGCAAAGAGTACACCAAATTATGACCAAAGGGAGGAAGCGAGCTCACTATGCACAAATAGCTGGTTGAGGGATTCGGTCTGGTGATTGGCACAACAAACACACTTCGAAGCAAGGGAAATTCCTCTCCTTTGCACGACAGATTCCATAGGGAGGATGTTGTCGAATATCAACTTATGAGCTTCGTAGATGCAGGCATGACTGAAGACCATATCTCATGGAGATCTTTAGAGGCATCATGATGATCACGAATTGAATGTCATGCAGATTTAAGTGAGAATTTTCCAGCCAAATCAGGTTTCCAGTGTCTCAGATCATTCTCCTCAACAAGTTTGGGAGCAGATTCTAGCAAGGTATGAGCAACCTCATGGACCAAGGGAGAGGTAAGAATATTGAAATTCCAAACCCTGTCAATGATAGAAATCTCTAAGTTTAACATTGGTATCCTCATCATCACAAAGGAGATCAAGCTTAAACTCAGCGTGCCATTGGTCATACCAAAAGGAGATATCACCCCTGCCAACTGTCCATGCACAATTATCAGAAAAAACATGCTTCATAGATAATGTATCTTTCCATTAGTTCAAGAACCTCAAAGGGCCATTCCAAGCCACAAGGAACTTTGAGATTTTGTATTTGGCACGCATGAAAGAGGCCCAAATAGAATTGGAATTGCACACAAGCCAACATTGTTTTAGAACGAAAGCTTTTTTCACATCACTCAATTTTCTAATGCCAAGCCCCCTTCATTGCACGGATAGCATAGTTTATGCCAACTAAGCCAAATCTTATTTTGCAATACTCAGAAGAGCCCCAAAGAAACCTCGCTATAAGAGACTCATTAGTCAGCAACACCTACTTAGGGACAGCTGTGGAAGAGATCAACTAAATAGGCATACTGCACAATACATGCTTAATTAGGACGAGTCTCCCAGCAGAGTTAAGTAACTTAGATTGCCGCCCATGTATCTTTTCCTAAATTCTATCAATCAATGGCTGATAATAGACTATTTTCCTTTTCCCAGGTCCAATATGCACACGCAAGTATTTTATGGGAAAGGTACCTCTTGAGAACTTGGTCGTTCTAGCAACAACTCTCACATGAGAGAGAGAAGCTTCCTGAGGCAAGAAAAATTGACTTTTGGATAGATTGATCAGTTGTCCAGAGCAAGCCTGATAAATATCAAGGATATCAAGGATATTAAGCACTTTTAACGAGGATCGATGTCATCTGAAAATAGCAAATGAGCTGAGCACCTAGCCATAGTAGCATAGCAAGTTTCGTCAGGTAAGCAATTATTCAGGGCCAAAGAGAGATTCTCCTCAACAATAATGAAAAGACTTGGGCATAAGGATCCCCTCGTCTTAGCCCTCTAGAAGATGGAAAATAACCCTTATACACTCCTTGGAACACCATCGAGAAAGAGCAATGACAAACACAAGTTTGAATAAGATCAATCTAACCTTGAGAGAAGCCAAATCTTTTTAAAATTCCCAATAGGAAATCCCATTCATGCCCATCATAGGTCTTTTGCATGTTCAAATTTAGAATAATGTTAGGATAAGGACCTTTTTTGTCAATCTCTCTACATATTTATTATGCTAAGAGATATTATCAGAAATGCTCCTCCCTTTAATAAAGGCACCTTGGTTTGAAGAGATGATATGGGGCAAAACACCAGCTAGTCTTGAGGAAATGGCATTAGCAAAAATATTGTAAAACAATAGTACAAAGACTAATGGGTCCGAAATCATTAAGAGAGATAGGGGGATGCTTCTTGGGGATCATCATCAAAAGAGCGTGGGATAAAGTCTGAGGTAAACTTTTCCTCCTTAGTAATTCATTAGCAGCGTCAAGTAAGGATTGACCAACTACATCCTACATGGAAGTGAAAAATGTAGAGGAGAACCCATATATCTCAGTCGCACTATCAATAGGAATACAAAACATAACAGTTTTTATTTCATCAAATTCAAAAGGCCACATAAGCATTTCATTAATATTATCATTCACACAATGGGGAATCGAATCCAAGAAGTCCCTATCAATAGAATGAGATTTAAAGGAAAGCAAGTGGCTGAAATACTTAACAGCATCATGAATAGCACGGGGACCATCAAGAGTATCATTATGTAAGCAAGAAATGGAATTATTCTTAGCAAGGGCTTGTTTACTACAAAATACCATGGAGTCATGGACGAATTTAGTGTTAGCATCACCTTTCTTAATCCATTTGATTATCGATTTCTCTTTCTAAAAAAATCTCCTCTTATAGGCAAGCTTCCCTCCATTTGGCTCAACAAGCATTTAGACTGGAGTAAATCTCCTTGTCCCATGGAATTTATAAGTTAGCATCCAAGGCCCTAATTTCAGCATACGGAGTAGCCATCCTATCAAAGATGCTCCCAAAGGTAGAAGAATTCCAGCTTTTAAGACTACCTCTGAGCGCTATTAGTTTGGAGTGTAAATCATCAAGAGGAGATAGAGTATGATTTATTCCAAAGTGAGGATACTACAATATGAAGATTTGGATGTCTGCACCACATCCTTTAAAATATCCACATCATAAGACTAGAATTAGTCTCAGTATTCCAAGATACATGATGGAACAATGGTCAGGATACTCTCTAGGAGAGAAGCAGGGATACCACCATTAAGAAGCCAGTTAGAAGATAGAAGAACCCTATCAAGAACTTGCCAAGTGCGATGTATGCCCTCCATATTGTTACACCAAGTGAACTTACCACTAGAAGTAGGAATATGGGCCATTTGACAATCTTCAATACACATATTAAATTCTTTCATCGCAAACGGCTGAGGCATAGCTCTTCCCAGTCACTCATCAAGGCTTCTAATAGTATTAAAATCACCTCCCCATATCCAAGGGTCAGTAATACTTGAATGCATGTCACTTAGATGTTGCCATAAATCTCTTCAAAATTGGACAGTGTGCTTCCCATAAATAACTGAAAGAGAGAATTGAATGCCAAGTACCTCAGCAGCCACAACAATGCACTGAGTAGACTTCAGATTGATGTCAACTTTAACCCCTTGGTTCCACAAAATCCATATTTTTCCTCCCAGCTCCTCCTCAGATATCCAGTTAGAAGAGTCACAAAAGAAATGAAAATTTCTAATATAGGTATCTTTCACAATAGGCACCATGAAAATTAATAAGACCTATGCGCATGAATGATCTGTCTACAAAAACCAAAGGTCTCACAATTGTCGATACCTCTGGGATTCCAAAAAATAATATTTACATTATTATGTACACTTGACATAAGGATCACGGGTTGGGAGGATGGGTCCTTCCTATCTCTGAGTTTGACAGAAAGGGGCAGATTTAGAAGTTTATTATTTCACTTATTGCTTGCAGATGGGTTGGAATTATTTCTCTCTTATACAAGCAGTTCATTAGGGTTTTCTTCAAGTAAGTTATCAAAGCTGTCTGGTTCAGCATCATTCTCTTAACAATCAGTGTCAAAAATTTCAATTGTGACAGAGGCATCATCATCAGGGTCTTCAGCATCTTGAAGGGAGGCAAACGGGTTACTATTGTGAGCACGTTGCAAAAAGGATGAATCAGAATCTGAGGCATCTTGATTGGGAGAAATATGGCCCTCATTGGTAGAAGGAATATAGGAGGGAACAGATTCAGAAGACTCATCATGATTGGGAATGGTAGTATCATCTTGTCGAAGAGCATGCTCCTTCAGGAGTTCAATTAGAGTACCTTGAGCTCTAGCTTGCTCCAGTTTGTAAGCTTCAACATCATGAATGGTCCAGAATAGGTCATTGATTTCTTCATGGTTTAGAAGATACTGCACCCAAAGATAGCTTTTTCTTTTCCTTTTTCATTGATGCTTTTGAGACATTGACTGCTAAAGATTTTCCTTTGGGATCTGGATTATTAGGAGAGGACATGGTGGTTTTATGAGCATGTTTATGAGGGTGGTCGGATGATAAGGAGCTATGGCCACCACAAGGGTATTAAGGCAGACATCAGATGTGCCTGCGTCTATATCATTGACAGGATGGGAGGAAGGAACCACGAGGACTTGATTAGAGGGATAGACCACTTCCTAGGCAGCAACCACCTAATGAGGGTACGCCAAGGCAAAATGGAGGGGATTCTTGTTGATTTGAGAAGGGGCAAACCTAGTAAGATGAGGGAACGAGATCACTTCGGCATTCTGCTGAACACTTGGAGGGCTTATCAGCAAAGCAGGAGATTGCGCCTCAACAAATGATGCAAGCACCGCCACTTTCTTCTTCAGGCACTCAGGAGCATTATGGCCTTCCAAATGATGGTGCAATATTTCAGCAGTCTCTCATAGATAATTAGTTGGCAAAATCCATCATATAATCCCACCCAGATTTGAGTAGGTCTCTTTAAGTCAATCTCCACACACATTTGAGCCACACTAGGTCTAGTAAGAGTAGCAGTGGGTTTGTCCAAGCACAAGAATCGACCAATGCGATTTGCAACAGCTTCCAAAAACTCAGGAATGAAACATTGCAGAGATAACTTCGGTAATGAAACCCAAACAGGAACATGACAAGCATCTTCCTTCATGTAGCATTAGTTATGCCATCTATAAACTTTGTAGTAGAAGGATTTGATAGAGTTTAGTGGGCGGGTCTGTACCTTAAGAGATCATATTCATCTTGAAATAGAAGGAGAAAGCACCTTAAATTCTGCTGTCGATGATCTATTTTTGATCTGGTCAACAGTAAGAGAGCGAGGGAGTGAAAATACAGAAAAGGGTGGATGGATGGGTGACAGAGATGGGGGATAAAGAGTGCAAGGGAACACCATTTCTTCCTAGATAGACCTTCTAAGGGTGAAAAAGTCAAATATTAGTCACTTGGATGGTGTGTGCTTAGGGCCCAATAAAATAACTTAGGGCTAATAAGTGACTAACTCACCATAGTACAGGGGGCACACATTTACAATTAATCCTTTAATTAAAAAACCATATGCAGATTAAAGAGAAAAGAAGAGGCTACAATTCTTGATTGAAATTCAACCATATGGCAAAAGTAAATGATTACAAAGAAATAGCTCCCCAAATTCACTTATTGAGAAAAAAAAAGTAATTTATCATTCCAAGCACTTCAATATCATGTAACTAAAGATAGGTACATATACTTACAGACAGTCAAAAGCATCAAGCTTCACGACCACATTTAATTACTTTTAATATTTTCTTAACCGTAACTAATTGACTACAGTCTGCCAACATACACATACACTCTCTGTTTAGGCCATGTCAATACATACAGTTGCCTAATTTTATCATTGGAACCTAGTAACTTATCAAATTTATAATCCAGACTACCCAGCAAATACCATGTATAGAAAACATTTAGTTTCATCATTTAAATCAACTTTTAGTATGACTATTATTTTAAAACTTAAATAATGACCTCCGCTGTGTTTGCTCCACTGTAATGGATTGAATCAACAAACTTCATGACTTTTCAGTTTTCATGGTCAACTACTTTAATCATTAAAACCTTACTGTGGCTTTCTGTGCTCTTTTTTTTGAGATCTTTCTGTGAACTTCTAATATAATAGTTTAGTCACCACATGATGTATGTTGTCCATATATTTATTTTATTTACGTGTTTGTCTTACTAATAGTTACGTCTATGTAATCCCTTTTTTTAGATTTCACCACATCACCGTGTTAGTATTCTGTAGTCATGCCCCATGTCTGTCAATTGTTCCTATAAATACTTCACAATGCCCCATGTTTGTCAATTGTTCCTATAAACACTTAACAAATTTCCAATTTCTAGAAAATGTTAAGAATTCTTAGTTGACAAGTCTAAATCATTTATCTAGTCCGTCAAATGGGTTTTCAAACGGTTCTTGTAAAATAAAACAGAGATAATTGCTCCAATAAGAAAAAAGAAATGACATGTAATTCCCAAGAAATATACCAGGTTGTTATATGATGATGCAACATGTGGATCCCTAGGTCCAAATCCTTCTTTAGCCTCATCAATAGCTGATCGAAGGAACTTTTCTGCTTCATCTATTTTACCCTACAATGAGAGAAAATATTTATTGATATTATGTATAGGACAGAGCATGATTTTATAGGAAAAAAAGTATGGTACATTTTGATGTGCGGGGCAAAATTTACGACAACATAGGGCATACAAATCAAATCAAGTACTCCACTCTCATAGTGGGGTTGAATCTAATCAAAGGAAGAGTTATATACTAGAACCCAAGCAAGCCACAGTTAGGCCGTAAAACCTGAACCAGGACCTTTTGCAACTAACTATACCTAATAATCTTTGTTTGCTTGCCTCAGAGTCTAGGTTTCTCTCTTTCTGCTTCTAGCCTAGACTCCGCAGGCATGTCCTATCATCTCTTGTCTAACTTATTGGTAGTCTTAGTTGATCAAATACCCATGGGAAACAGAAAGAGGAGCACATATAATGAGATTTTAGTCTTAATTATTTGAAATCTGTGATGAGATGAAAGAAACACATTATCAAGTTCGGCTTTGCTAATGTTATTAGGGCCATATTCTATATTTGTCTATGGGGTAACTTGAAGTGGAAACTCAATCACAGTTCTTATGTTGTCAAAGCAACAGACAATAAAGAGAAAGAAATGCAAAGGGTACTGAATTACTTACTTTCAGAAATAGCTCCCTCCCCTTATCAGTGAAAATTCTCCACTTAATGGTATGTGAATTTGAAACTACTGAACCATCTTCAATTCTGCGTAGGCCAGTCACATAAGCCTCCCCTTGTTCAGTAGCAGCAATAGGTTCAGCATCAGAAGCAGTTTCAGCATACGCAGTGTTCACACCAAGACCAACAAAAACCGCTGCAATACCACAAATTCAAAATAAAAATGAATACCATCGTTTATAACATTATACATCTAGGTTCATACTAACTTATTTCTATGGAAAACTGAATAATACAAGAGTTAAGGAACAGTCTGAAATACTCAAGTTTACCTCCATCATTGTATATAACATTATACACCTTTATGCATAAGTTCATTCTAACGGATGACAAAAAAAGCTTGTGAAGGAAATTTTTACTGCTTATTAATAAAGTCACTTGTTCCGGCTTATGTATTCCTCTCTTCCTTTTATTTATTTATATTTCTTTATTTTTGTTTATCTCAATAACCTCCTTCCAGTGAAAACATCAGCTAACAACCATTAGCAAGATAATTGTACAAATATACTTAATAGGAATCATAAAATCATTCTAGCCTGATTACCTCTTACTTGCTTATGACGTGAGATCAGCATCTTCCAAATAACAATTCTTGGGGAAACTCTATACTCTCATTTGTCCATTGCATTTCACCATATGAGCACCATCTATATCGAGAGTTCTTTTCTTTGATTGCTAGATCATACATCTAGAAGTTTGCCATCAATCAACAGATTCGGAAATATAATTCCATTTTATTTTTATTTAACCCAAAAAAATGGTATTATAATAATACATCCAATTTTGTCTTTATCTCCATTTGTCTATGTACGTCCACGTGGGTATATGTGATACTTGTATTTTGGCAGACGTAACCGTAAGAGTAGCAAACTCGAGCCTCATTTATAGGAAGGATACACATATGCAAAAGATTTAATTTTAAAGAGTTTACTAGGAAAATAAATATTGAATTCTACAAAATCCAAAGAGACAACCCTTTGCATCCACATTTTGTTTGAAGGATTGAAAATAGACTTCAGCCAAGAAAGAGTAGTCCGGTGCACGAAGCTCTCGTTATCCACAATGACCGGGGATATATGACGTTCAGTATCATAGTAAAGAATTCTAAAGCTTAACTAAAAAAGTTTACGACTTTCAAAATAATGATTGCAAACAAACTGACATCCAGGACGAAGCAAAAGTGGCAGTGTCTTGTTTAAATTCATCAAGTCATCTAAACACGAGTTTGCCAAGATGAACATTTGGTGATAAGTTCATAAACGAGCGCAGGGGTCACCCCGAACATATATCCCTGATGCGGAACTCAAAAAATCTAGCAAGTTCCAAAGATCAGGCACAACAACTGCCACCCACAGGGTGTTATACATCCGAAATCAAGAAAAAAGTGTCGTCATAGCGAGTGAAATTAGAAGTGAGTTTAGCTTATCTGAACCATTTAATCCACACTGCACACTGATTTTACACGTCAGAGAATTTACCAGTAGGCCCAGCAAACACGAGCGCCGATATCGGATCCCAACGATGCTTGCTTGCAGAGGAATTGGAACCTCGCCGGCTGAGCCCAACAGTACCTAGATCAGAATATAATATGGTTAGAATTTTACAGGATGTTCTTATCTGTTCATCCTTTTGGATGTTTTACCAAATTCGAATAAAGAAGCTCAATTGGATCGCCTCCTTCGTTTTTGAAACAATGCATATTTTTAGAAAGCAACGCATGCGTCATGCTGTGCGCAGGTTCTTACCACATAAATGAGACATGAATGAATTAAAAATTGCATTAGAAAGGAAGAAAGAGATTACTGAGAAAAGAAGCGGAGGAATCATTTAGAGGAGAACTTCGAGCAGCGGTGGCGAATTGAGGCCGAGGCCGGAACCTTCTGATGAAACTCAGAGCTCGCTGAATTGATGCCATTAACAAAAACCTAGAGGGAGAGAGAGAGAGAGAGGAGAGAGGAGAGAGGGAGAGGGTTAGGGCTTTAGAGGGGGTTTAGCGGTGGAGATCAAGACACGATCCGCTAACCCGGCCCAAATTAATAAGGGAAGGCAATTAGTTGGATTCGGGTCGGGTAAAACTGTAGTCACACCCAACTCGTGGATTCCTTAGGCCTCTCCATCTCCGAAGCAGCAGCAGCAGCCTCGTCTCCGAGCGCCCACCGAAAATGCCCACGTCCCTCAGAAAACCTGCGCGTCAATCTCCTCGCTTCAAACTCGCCAGCGTCCAACGGCCGGTGCCTGTGACGGTTCCCCATGCCGAGACACGTGTCGCGGCGCATACTACAGCCGCGCTCAGAGCGTCACGTGATCGGAGGCTCCAAGAAAAACCTAATATTATCTGCCTGGGCGATCGCCGCGAGGCTATGGCTGGCGAGATCGTACGCTTGCGGTGCGCGTTGTACCGCAGGTTTTTGCCAAGCCACAGGTTATGGCGGCACTGTCCAGCGCCGCGAGGTAAAACGTTTCTTTGTATTGACTGCAACTTGTGTTGAAAATTCCTAATTTTATTCATTTTTGTTATTTATATCTTCAATAATTCTTTGAAAAGTTGCAATTTTTGGAGACGATACAATGTGTTCTTTGTCGTGTGATTCATATGTGCGAGAGAGGCTTCTATATATGGGCACAACTTACATAACCGCAGAGGACGAAATACGGAAAGAAATATATTAAAATAAATATGAAAAATATAGCAACGTTATGTAATCAACCATAATATCTGCTATCAGTTTCATTTTCATGTATGATTGTTAGCTCTCGTTCAAAATCTCATTAATATGCTTGTAAATCTGGTTATAAATGATGAGATCTATGGCTTGTGACAAGGAATGAGTCTCTGCAGAGTGTAGAGGAGAAGATTGCTCGGCACAGTAGAGATGGGACAACCACTTCGAGGTAAATTTTTTATTTTTGATGATATTTAGCATTCTTTTATTGTTCCTTAGGAGTTTGAATCCTGCTTGTAAGTGATTGGTTTATGATTGATGCTTAGAAATTAATTCTACGTAGTTATGTCTGTGGGTCATTCCTGTGCCCCTGACGACATTTTGTGCTTGAAAAGTTCATCACTCTTTACAATGAAGCTTTCCTCAGGAGGGTTAATCGCTTATTTTATGCTTGGGCCTCACCTTTAATTTTGATATTTTATAAAAAATGTTTCTTATAGCTTTCCCTAGTTTTCAGGAAATATTGATGTGTATTCTTTTTTCTCGTTAGAAGCCGTATGCCGAATGAATGCAGATCTATTAAGCTCTCGTTTCTATCTGTGCATCAGGATTTAATCTTCCTGATGGGAATATATCATCTTCGTCATCTTCCGCTTTGATTTCTTTCTCCAGTCTAGGCAAATTTGAAGAATGCCCCTTTATTTAGGACTGGGGCTAGCTCTTTCTTGTGGATTGTTTTCCCACTGGTAATTTGGCATTACATTAGGGAGGCAACCATCTTTCATGAAATATTGTCAAACCTTTGGTGGAGCCTTGCTCCATAGCTGAATCCATTTTTGGAAAAGGCTTAGATGATTTATTAGTAAGCATGAGCTATTCAATGTCACAGAGAGAGAGGGAGGATCCTATTTCACTGCAACAATAATTTTCTTTGTTAATATGCATGTTCGACGAGCTGATGGACACAAGTGGATGCTTTCCATGTGAAAAATTTTAGTAGCGATTTGTAGCTGCATTTCTCTTATTCTTATCAATTTAAATTTCCACCACCCAACTATGCAAAAAAGTTGCAACAGCTTGCTAGACTTCTGATTCTGAGATTTTAATGGACCTGCTTCATAAGTTGAATTTTAAAGTAAACTTTGGACAGCAGTTGGTTACTTCGCTGATGCCAAAATTTTAACCATGAGTGCTTTGGCTTCAAAAGATGAGTTTTGTGCCATTTATTTATTTTTGTCATAGCTGACATTGTTTGGGGAGCTGTGGAGCTATGTCATTCTTTGCTTTACCATACAAAAAGTTTAAAAAGCTATTTGTAACAGTTTAATTTAAAAATTGGGGCATCCTTTCTCGGACATTAACTTTCCTATTGCAGTTTTTTTTTTTACTGAAAAATGAATTGTCAGATCAAACTTTGTCTTATTCAATGATATATTGTTTGTACACAGAGAGCTTGTCGTTCAGTTCAATGCAGATGTTGCGGATGGGATGCAATGGAAGTTTGTTCCTACACAAAGAGAGGTCCCTATGAGTACATATTCACATGTACTAATATATCTCAATACAAATCATATTTTAGTCTGAATATCTCGTGTTATGTATAGGTAAGGGTCAAACCTGGCGAAAGTGCCCTTGCATTCTACACTGCAGAAAACCTTAGCTCGAAACCAATAACTGGTGTTTCTACATACAATGTAACCCCAATGAAGGTATGTTGTTGAAAATAACATAGCATTTATGATATGCATGCTTATTGCTTTATGTTTCAGTTAATCGTAGTTGCTTTAGCTTAGACTGCCAGACTAGTATCAGTAATTGTATGTTTAGGGAAAAAGAGCTAAATGAAAGGTACTTTACTTGTCATTGTACGTCTTGATTGCCAAGCTTTCAAACACTATAGCTGATACAATATAACAATCACAATGTAAGTATTTATTCAAGATTTATGTCAGAAAAATCATCGGCGGATGTTTGAACTAATTTAATGGCATTCCATCCTTCTTAATATATGTTATGGGGTAAGTTATATTTAGCTGCTGTTCAGTTACCACATGATCTTGAACTGAGCATGACATGTAGTTGTCTTTCTGTGTTTGCTACTTAGGGAATGACCAACATATCATAATAATGTTGGCGGACTGAGCTCTATAAAACATTTAAATTATATCATGCTATGTAAAAGGTGCTCTTGGTTTTGCAATATCCACAAGTTCACACATATTTCTTCAACATAACTGTGCAACAAAATTATTACTTGTCTGCAAAGTGTGCTTCAGTTATAATGGTAAGATATATGTTCTTCCAAATTTCATATGGTGTACCAATTACTTCTTGTCCACTAACACAAGGGCATATTTGTGGGGCGGCTACCTGGTGCTAGTACTAAGTATGAGAACTAACTACTAAGAAACCCCATGGAAACCTACTCATCTCCAAAATGAACCAATAATATAGTGAGTCTGATACTTAAAACTGCATCTGAAGTGATACTTTTCAGGAATACAAGTTACCTGAAACAGGAAGACTTTGAACTTGGTCAACATCTTTTTAATATCCTTATATGGGTCTGTCGATCATTCTTCCTGTGGGCAATGAGTAATTCACTAGGTATAATGCTCACTTGTAGGCCCAGCTAAAGCTTTACTTGCTCATTTCGCACTTTGTCGTAGAGTTGGTGCAGGCTCTCTAAAAATCGAAGTAGACTAAATTCTTTCCACAACTATTGCAATTTGCATTTCTAAGAGTATTGTCATGCTCAAGTTATTATTCAGAAGTAAGGTCCTTTATGCTACTGTGTTCTGTTAGCAGTTGGCTTTCAGAAATATGCTATGTGTGCTAAACTATGCACGCTGGCCCTAAATTCTTTTTGAAGGGATTATTCTTTTCTATAGGGCATAGGGTCAACAAATAATTTGATCATGCTTTTGCATAATAATGCTTATTTGCTGAAGTGTTCCAGTATTCTAACCATACCCAACAAATTCAATTTCCTAGTGAAGGCATCACCTTTCTTGCTAGAATTTTTTATTTCAAATATGCGGGTGATTTAGAGTTTGTATCCGTTGTTAGTTATAATTGATCCCGTGATATGTTAGTCTGTCAAACACGTATTTTCATGGAATTTGCATTCCTGTTTAATGATTATGTTTCTTTTATTAGTCCTGTCCATAAGATTTCCAAGCGGTTGTTTCTTTGCAGGAAACATGTCCAGAAGTAATCTTGATAATGAAAATATTATGGCACAAGAAATTAATATGAGTGTAAACCTTCAATAAAGTAAGATTTTCAAGCTTAACTACTATAAAAGATTATTCTCACATGACATGAATATTGCTACTGTACCTCAGGTTTAGTGGATCATTTGAAAGTTGTCATCCTGCTATTATGTCGCATGGACATAGACATGATAGTATAGGATATGAGCTGACATAAGAAATTCTAAAAAACTACAATAAAACTGAAGTATTGTCACATCTTAGATACGCACATGATGCAATATCATATTTGAAGAAAACTACTTAATCCTGCCAACTGCCTCTCTCTCTCTCTCTCTCTCTCTCCCTCTCTCTCTCCCCTCCCTCTCTCTCTCTCTCTCTCTCTCTCCCTCTCTCTCTCCCTCCCTCCCTCCCTCCCTCTCTCTCTCTCTCTCTCTGACTCACGGCACCAAAGAAAAATACATATGTTCAGTTGATCTTCTGCTTCGTCTTGCAGGCGGCTGTCTACTTCAACAAAATACAATGTTTCTGCTTTGAGGAGCAGAGACTGCTCCCTGGTGAGCAGATCGACATGCCGGTAAGAATTTCTTGTTATTTTTCTCTGATAATTATAATGAATTCATTGATTTGGTTGTTGATGTTCTTAGAATACTGGTGGGATCTGCAGGTATTTTTTTACATTGATCCCGAGTTTGAGACGGACCCAAAGATGGATGGCATCAACAACTTGATACTTTCTTATACTTTTTTTAAGGTTAACGAGGATTAGGCGATAACCGTTTAAAGCTGGGCCTTTGTATCTTGATTATATTTTATACTGCTGTCATTTTAGCTATAATAATTCTTTTGTAAGTGTTATATTTTCCAAATCTTCTGTAAAGTGATTCAGTGAGGATCATCAAGGTAATAGGATCATCTGGATGTTTTTTCTCCCGGTTGTATGAGTTATCCACCTTCCATGGAGCAACCAATAAATCACTGTTTGTTTAACATTATAGGTTGAGATGTGCCTTACTTTAATATTTGCTGGATACATCTTTTTTTTTAAAATTTATTTAACTTCTCCTAAAATTTGTCTGTATGGCAGGCATATTGGGGCATTTTCTAATGGATCCAAAATTATAAGTTTGTTTGAATTATGTATCAATAATTTATTTGATTTATAAATATATCGTGTTTATGTAAGTTGTTGGTTCTGAGATAAGTATGATAGCTCAAAATAATTATTCACCTGTTGGAATTAAAATATATCAAATATATTTATATAATATGTTCTTGTAATTGTTCTAGCATCACAAGTTTATGCTACAGGTTTTATCAATAGTAGAACTCTATGTGAGGTATCTGTGTAATTATGTGCATGCATGTGTATAAAACTTTTGTTATGTCACGCCATATCCGATTGTAGTTTTTGAAAATTTGTCATATTGATGAGTATGTGTTACGCATATTGTATTAGTGTTCGGTATATATGTTTATGCTTCTCTGAATGCATGACAAACTTGGGAAAACTTTTGCGAAGTTTTCTAGGGCACGAATTGGATATTTTATCTGTATTTTGGGGAAATTTTTCGCAAGAGTACCAGTTCATGTTTTCTTCACGCAATATGATGAAAAAGTTGGAACAATATGTAGCCAAAATCGATATCTTATTTTCATTCTTTCCAAAAGTGGTATTCATTGTTTTTCTGGTTTTAATCCAGCTAAGCATGCAAAGAGCATAAGAAAGAAAAGTGGAAGAGACGGCTATATTTCCATTGACATTGTCCCTTTCCTATTCCATGCTTCAATATTAATCAAACACATCAAGTTTAACAAAATAAAAAGAGGGGAAAAAAGTAGATAGAGTTGAGAAAATTTTGTTGATTTTATATTCTCAGCTTTTACTGTTTTACATCAATATTGGCTTTCTACTTGTTTGTTTCGTGGTATTTTTTCTGAGTTGATATTGTGTCAAGGAGAAGAACACCCGTGGAAAGTATTGCAAATATGGAGTTTGAATATTTGCCTCTATACACGAAACATATTATATGAATCCATTATTGAAATGCAAGCTCAATGACCGATTTTGCTCTTTGGAGAGAGTGAAAAAGAATGGTGCATTTTTTTAAAGACATGCACCAAAATTCTTTAGAAAAGAAATAATATATATTTTGATCCTTTCCGATCTTGCGAAGCTTGCTGATTTTTCTTATTGTATCTTTAGTAGTATAGGAGATTCATTTAATCACACACCAAAGAATATTCTTTTTGGATAGAGTAAAAGAGGATGGACAAATATTTAGATGGAAGTGTATCAAGGTTTTCTTAAACAAAGAAATCATTTACAATAATACTATTGATTCTTTTCATCCTTTCCGTTGCAAAATGCATAGCTTCCTATTTTTCCTATGTCATTGTATCTTGGGACTATCGCTAGCATACTATGAAGCTTCTAGAACTTTCATGATGCATTGGACCCACTTAAGCGCATATAGAAGAAGGTATTGGCTTTTGTTATGAGAAGACATACAACATAGACAAGGCAAGAGAATGGAGAACTCACAGAGGGCATTGGGTTGGGCAGCCAAAGATGCTGATGGGGTTCTTTCTCCTATCAAATTGTCTCTTAGGTAGCTTCTCCCTCATCTTTTCCATTGCAAAGTACAAAATTTCATGGTTTAATTCTCCTTCAGAATTTTTTATGATGTTACCACTTAATGTAAAATCATTGTCATGCTTGTTGAAACAATTATGTGTCATCTGTAATTGCAGTGTTTCCTTCATGATTTTGTAATTTCATCGTAGAAGGTAATCTACCGATGTACGTAAATGAATAGAAGATGCCTAAGTTTAGGGGTATATCTATGTTTTCTATTTAATATTTCTTACTTTTTCATCACAAAAAAAGGTTGTATTCCTAAGTCTTCAGGTAGATATCGTGATAACCAATTCCTAATGAGGTATTATGATAGAATGTCTCAAAAGAAGATAGAATGTGAGCTCTCATTCTAATTCAGAGTAGTTTAAACCCAAATATAATTTTTGGGATTTTCCAAAAGCTCTTTCGCCATCTTAATTCCATAAGGCTATCTAGATCTTCTTTTTCAAAAGATATTCTTTTAGTGTAACATTATAGTAGCAACATTAACTTTTTTTTTTTTTGCAGAGCTAAAAATGATGATGACATCATATTCAAAATATTGTATTGTGGAGTTTGTCATACTGATCTCTCCACAATAAAGAATGAGTGGGGAACGGCTAGATATCCCATTGTCCCTGGGTATGTATTCCCTTGCTATTACATAAAATATATTCCATGATTAGTCAATATATAGATCTATCTCCCTGTTTCACTCAAGCATTTTCCCTCCTCCTCTTGGAATTTTACAGACATGAAATTATCGGTGTCGTTATTGAAGTAGGTACCGCTGTGCAAAACTTCAAGATTGGTGACAGCATCGGTGTTGGCTACATAGCTAACTCATGTCTCACTTGCGACCAATGCAAACAAAATTTTGAAAATTATTGTCCGAATCTAATTCCATCATTCAACTCCCCATTCCATAATGGGATTGAATCCACAGGAGGATTCTGCAACCTTTTCATCGTTAAGGAGCATTTCGCGATTAAAATCCCTGAAAATATGCCTTTGGAAAAGATTGCGCCTCCTTTTCATCGTTAAGGAGCATTTCGCGATTAAAATCCCTGAAAATATGCCTTTGGAAAAGATTGCGCCTTTGATGTGTGCAGGAATTACAGTGTATATTAAAATCCCTGAAAATATGCCTTTGGAAAAGATTGCGCCTTTGATGTGTGCAGGAATTACAGTGTATAGTCCAATGAAGTATTTTGGGCTAAATGAGAAGGGAAAGCATTTGGGAGTTATTGGCCTTGGAGGTCTTGGGCATGTTGCTGTTAAGTTTGCAAAGGCTTTTGGAATGAGAGTTACTGTTGTCGAATCAAATCCTGAGAAGAGAAAGGAAGCGATGGATGTACTTGGAGCTGATTCATTCTTGGTTAGTAATTGCCTTGAGGAGATGGAGGTAAGAGGTTTGCTAGTAATTTGGTTATGTATTTATGGTTAGTTATCTTTAAGTTTAAATATTGAATTTCAATGAACTTAATAATTAATAACATTAGTACATGTTTGAACTTTTCTTGTATGTAAATGTGGATAATAAACTACTGTGGAGGGAAAAGTGATATTGTCTGAAACATTCAGTTGAACGCGTGAAGAAATGATGATTATGTCATTCATATTTGCTAATATTTTTATTCAGTTTTTGTATCCTTATTTGTTTATGCATCTCTTTGAAAGAAATCTAGATCATCTTCAAGCTTGTAAGAATGCTGATTCTGTCATTCATACTTCTAATATTTTACAGAATATCTTTATTTAAAAATTAACAAAAAAATTATAAAATTCTAAAATTTTAGCACGAGAAAACTTCTTTACGTATTACGTTATAGATTTTATTTTTGAACATGAAAAAGAAAAGAACCTATCTTAATTCACGAGATTGTTTTTCGATAGGACTTTATCCATTATAACCAGATTAGACCAATGTTTTTGGGTTATTTCTTAATGAAGTTAACCTTAAAATCATACTTGCATCAATGCAAAAACAGGCGAATTAGAACTATTGTTTTTTCCTAGGCCGCAGATGGAACTATTGATGGCATTATCGACACAGTCCCAACAGTTCATGACCTTCATCCCATCATCTCTCTACTCAAAGTGCATGGGAAGTTAATTGTGCTTGGGGGACCAAGCAAGCCAGATGAGCTACTCACTTTATCTCTAATCAAAGGTTAATTATCTTAATTAAAATATAATTATCCTTCTTAGACCATCCGCTGACATAATTAGATTAATATAACCTTACATTAATTTTTTTATTTTTATTTTTCTGTGTTGCAGCTGGGAAAATGATAGCTGGAAGTTGCATAGGTGGGATTAAAGACACACAAGAGATGATAAATTTCGCAGCAAAGCATAATATAACTGCAGAGGTAGAAGTTATTGGTATCGATTATGCGAACAAAGCTATGGAGAGACTCTCTAAAGGAGATGTTAGATACAGATTTGTGATTGACATCGTGAACTCTTTATAACAATTGGAGGCCATTCGGTTCACAAAAGGATTTCAACTGGAGTAATAATTAGCAAAACAATAAATATAATTGCGGTTGTAATTTCTAGTCTTGCTGTAATTGCAGTTGCAAAAAAGAACTATTAGAATCTGAAGTTCAATGGCATTGCCAAATGTATGCTACTTGTGTGGATTTATTTTCTATAATTCTCCATGCTATCTCTAGCAAAATATTTTTGGAGCTCATATTTGGAATAATTTTCTTGAGACACTACACTGATGTTCCATATGATTTGTGATTGGCTCAACCGGAAATTCAACAAAATTAATGTACTTGAAATATTGCATGAAAACATTTATGAAGATGTCTTTTTTTTTTTTCACTCGATGGAAATTCAATAGGAACTTTGCGATGTCAGTCTCCGTACGGAAGCGCTACAAAAGTCAGTCAATTTTAATAAATTCCTTGAATTTTGTCACTCTAGTTAACATGTTTCTATATAAAAAAAATCCGAGAATTTCTCATTAAAGTTAGGAAAAGTTATAGTTTTTTTGACATTAACTAAGATAAATTTTAGACTGAGAGATTCTAAGGGTTAAAAAGATGAGTTATTGATTGCACTGGTTGATCAGAAGAGGAAAGTAAAAACTTTTTGCAAATCTAATGGACCTAAATATAATTTTCTTAATAATTTTCCATTTCATCCTTAAGTCATAAGCTATTTAGTTATGGTTTTTTTTTGAGAGACTTATGGAAAATGTTGGATGGATGAACCACAAATATTGTACACATAAAACCATTTCATGATAAAAATCGTACAGATGTTTCCCTACAATTGGATTAGAAATTATCTTTTTGAAAGTATTCTGATGAGTCACTTTTCATAAGAAAAACAAACTTGTTTCGCCCTCTTCCTTCCATTGAGCATTGGATGTGGGGGCAAAAAAAAAGGCCAAGCAAATGGGCTGCTACCGATCAACTTTCTTTATTAAAAGAAAATTTTTATTAGTTGCATATATGAGAACCGGGGGATCTAATAAAATTTGAGATACTAATTTCAAAATAACCTAAAAAGTAAGGGACCTAATAGCAATTTTAATGATGAACAAATTTTTTAAACAGACCCATTCCAACTTTTTATTTTCAAAACCGACTCTTTTTTTTTTTATTTACCAAAACCGACCCGATTTTGTGATTAGCAGACTAATCACCTTCCTAAATAGTCGGGGTTGGCAACCCCGACTATTTAGGACATTAATTTTTAGGGTTTAATGCTTCTAATTAGGGTTTAACACCGTCCTAAATAGTCGGGGTTGCCAACCCCGACTATTTAGGAAGGTGATTAATCTGCTAATCATAAAATCGGGTCGGTTTTGGTAAAAAAAAAAAAAAAGAGTCGGTTTTGAAAATAAAAAGTTGGAATGGGTCTGTTTAAAAAATTTGTTCTTTTAATGATTTAAGAGTCCCATTCAAAATATGAAAGCTTTAAAGGGACTAATATTTAAAAAGCCAAAACAGATTTGTAATTTTTACGCTTTCCTGTCCCTCAATTTGCAATTCCTATCAAAACTCTCATATACAACATAGAAATCCGGAAGGAACAAGAAAAAAAAAAAAAAAAACGCCGAGCATAAAAAGAGCGAGAGAGAGAAGAGAGAGAGAGAGAGGGAGGGAGGGGGAGAGAGAGAGAGAGAGAGAGGGAGATCCCAAGAGCTTCGGTGGTTAATGACCTAGGCGCTATCAGATCCCGATCATCTCCATTCGATCCCGCGCTCTCGAATTCAGATCTGATCCGAGATCCCCAAAGGTCAGATCCCAGATCCCAACCCCAACCCTAACCCTAGTTCATCTCTTGATCTAATTATCTTTCGGTCTAGGGTTTTTTAGCGATGCTGACGAAATTTGAGACGAAGAGCAATCGGGTGAAGGGGCTGAGCTTTCACAGCAAGCGGCCATGGATCCTCGCCAGTCTCCACAGCGGCGTGATCCAGTTGTGGGATTATCGCATGGGCACTTTGATTGATCGATTCGACGAGCACGATGGCCCCGTTCGAGGGGTCCACTTCCATAAATCTCAGCCGCTGTTTGTCTCAGGAGGTTATACATTCGATCCCTTTTCTTGTAATTGTTGTGTTGGTTGAGATCTGGATTCTTGGAGATCTTCTTTCGTTTTGTGATGTGTAGATCTGGCAAATCATCTTCTTTCATTTTTGAGTTTTTGACTTGTTTCCAATGAATTTGATTAAGGCTGGCATATGATAGATTTTAGGCTCTTAACATTTAATGGAATCGATTCATCTTCTTTGTGTATCCTCATGATGTTGCGAGGATCTAATCTTGCTCAAAAGCTGTTATACATTTGACTAAAAACTAGTGCAATTTCTCATGGCTGCATCTACTTAGTGGGGTATTAGAATCAGCAGGATATCTATTCATTAAGTATCAAATTCTTTAAATATATATATTTAACACTCAAATGGTTTCCAGTTAATATTTGTAAGGGACTCGGGAGAACACACACCTAAAAGCTAGCTGTTAGAGTGTTATAAACCCATATAACTTCCCATATAATCAATATGGGAATAATGGATCCTAACATACCACCATGCTTTCGCAGTCCTGGTGTCCACACGGGCTAGCTACATAATAGTCTAATCCTAGTTGAACACTGCAAGTGCAATCCCAGCGTCACCCCTTTCAATTTGTACTAGACTGGTCCCTAGCAAACACTGCAACATCAGCGTCACTACCCGCACCGCTGGTTTGCAATTGAGAGGCACTGATAGAATTCACCCATAAAAGCTAGTTGTTAGAGAGCTTATAAACCAATATCAATTGCCCAATTAGTCGATGCGAGACTAGTGGATCCTAGCAATATTATGATATAAGTAAAAGGAGTAATATGAGACACACGCTGAAATTTGAAAGCTGTATACACTCTCTCTCTCTCTCTCTCTCAAAGTTAACATTTTTTTACATCAAATGATATGCTGTAGGGTATTTGAGATCAAGATGAGCACATGTTTTAGAACGCTATTGGATTGTCTTCGGAAGTCCAGATCAACCTGTGATCTGTTTGTACGAGTAATTATATCTTTAACTATAATACTGTTACCTTCTTTTGCAGGTGATGACTACAAGATCAAAGTGTGGAACTACAAAACACATCGGTGCTTATTTACTCTTCTTGGACATCTTGATTACATTCGTACAGTCCAATTCCATGACGAGTACCCTTGGATTGTTAGTGCGAGTGATGATCAGACTATTAGAATTTGGAACTGGCAATCCCGGACGTGTATTTCAGTCCTGACAGGGCATAACCACTATGTCATGTGTGCATCTTTCCACCCTAAGGAGGATCTTGTTGTTTCAGCTTCACTGGATCAGACTGTTCGCGTGTGGGATATTGGCGCACTGAGAAAGAAAACTGTGTCTCCAGCAGATGACATTTTGCGCTTGTCTCAGATGAATACAGACTTGTTCGGTGGAGTTGATGCTGTTGTGAAGTATGTTCTTGAAGGTCATGACCGAGGAGTCAACTGGGCATCCTTTCATCCTAGTCTGCCCCTTATTGTTTCTGGAGCAGATGATCGGCAAGTGAAATTATGGCGAATGAATGGTACTCCTGAACTCTGTCTCTTATTTGTGTGATTTTGATAGTGTTCAATCCATTACCTATTCCTCTATAGGGAACCATGAAAAGTTTGCTTGATCACCATCATAACGGATTGAAATATGTAAGCAATAAGATTTATCTGTAATCTGAAACATGTAACTTAGAAGTTGCTTTTCAGCTTGTTTTGAAATTAGTTAGTCAGCATTGCGAATGTTCTGCACTTGGCTGGACTTCCACTGTCACATGTTCTCTTTATTCCTTTTGTTGTTTTGTTTAGACCTCTAGTACTTGTTTGATCTGCCTTCCTCTTTTTTTTTTTGATCTCCCTCCCTTTTCAAGGACAGTGGCCATAATAGGTCTGTGACTCCTTTCGCAGTTCTTTAATCTTTCTTCTTCAGTTCTTTGCTCAAAAGATAAGAGTTCATAAGGCATTGGTATATGGACTGACATCTCTAGGATGCTCTTATAGTGTAGCAATTTGTTAGCTTATCACATGCATCCAGTTTGATACAGTTACTTCGTTATACATGAAGTGGTTGACCATACTTGTGTGAGTCCAGTCAGTGATAACTAATGAGTAGGAATTGCTTGTGTATTTCTTTCTCTTTGATAGGTATTTAGTGTGCTTGGATATGAGCTTAAATTCCCAAATCCTATGGTCACATTTGGATATGACTGCATATCTTATTTACTATTATTAAAGCACATCTGAAATTGATGTTGTTGTGCGCTCTGGTCTTGTGATGATCTTATAAGTTCCAGCTTACGATTTCTTAGTTATACAAAGAAACCATTTTATAAGAACTGCTATGTACATATTTATTCAGAACAGCAAATACTCTTGGGACAATGCGTCTCTTTTTGTATTCCTGTGCTTGATATACAGAATATCTATCTCAGTAGTTTATGAGTGTGTGCAACTGTGCATACAAAACTTTTGAACCTTACCATGTCCACTATCTCAATAGTTTGTGTATGCGACTGTGCATACTAAAGTTTTGAACTCTTACCATGTCCGAAGTTCCGAACGTGTTTGTTCTCTGTATTTTCGTTGTACACATTTTACAATTTATGTAGTTGAATTTTCACCCCAGCATGAAAGCCTTGAAAACAAAGATTCAAAAATGTCAATTATGTAGTTTACCATGTTCAATTATATGTTGCTCACTTTGTGTTTGCTTGTGTTTGAGAGCACATGGATGTATGAGTGCTTTTTCTATTGTTTCAACTCAGATACACTTTATTAAATGCCTTTATATCTTTGTGTTCACACTGTACATTCTCATAACTGGCACGGGAAATTTTATTTTATGAAAGTTCAGTGCAACGTTTAGACATTATATTCTTGTACCTGTCCTCATAAATGATCAAAAGTTACGTACATATTATCTTATATTAATATAACTTGTGGTTAAATGCACGCTATGGACATTAGCTTATTAAGAGCT